ATAGTTGAACATATAAGGCCATGGTTCAGTACAATTTTTTTACCATGTATCAAATCACCTATTAAATACAAAAGTTTCTCACAACTCGTCGATATTCGTTAGGCTAGGTCGAAAGCGAGAACAAGGTTAGATTTGTCACGCAGAAGGCACTCTAACGCGGACGAGCCTTGAAATCTTGCTAGATTAATAAAGTCGGTTGTACGGTTACGAAAACACTCTGGACGTAGTTTTTCCAATATTTGCTCAACAATGTTCAAACGTTCTATTGCATAACTCACACTTCATATACCGAAGATTGTGAATAATTCGCTTCTGAAGTAAGAAACTAATGCGCACCTACTTCAGTAATTTCACGCTTAATAGTGGCTACAATTATAGTTTCACAGTGTTCGAGTTGTACGAGACAGTTACACCCATATTTTTTCAACGGATTGGAATTCTTAGAATGAAAATACCTTTTCCTTAAGAAACGAGTGGTACAAAAGTTACAGCGAACACGCCTCATTTTCTTAGAACAAAACATTCCTGTTGTCGTTACGTTTTGTTATTGTTTCCCGCGTATTGCGACTCTTGGGTGAATCCTGCATGCTCGGAGCACGCATCGTTCGGCGTCCCGTTGCGTTAATTCATAATTTCATGCACGAAATACGCATCGATTGCCAGTATCTGCCAATTTGCCGGGCACATTCGTGTCTGGCAATGATATTGCGCTCTTTCTTTCGGGATAATGTCTTCGCCGGGACAGTACTCTCTCTTTTCTCCCTTGTTCGGTCGAAAGAGGCGAAGGTGGAGGCTAATCACCACGCAATCACCGCTCCCGGTGCGGCCAACTCCGACCCGTTCTCAGAAAGCAGCAACCGCCTTTTGCCGCCTCGGGGCATTCACCACCGAGGTACTGGCATAGCAAAACCAACAATCTTCGTCCTTTTCACCGCGGAAAAAAAGGCCTCTACCCTCCACCCTCTTCTCCGCCCCTTTTCTCCAAATCACCGGAGGGCCGACCGATCGGCCGACTACCGGCATACAGGAAATCCATCGCGAGAATGGCGGCAATTCCACTTTGAGAACCGATCAGGAGATGTCGAACGTACGTATTAAACATCGGAGTAAGCAATCTTCCGAACACGACATTGCCCGGAATGCGGATCATTGGGATGCTCTCCAGATACCACCGTTATTATAACCCGCGAAGGTTGCGATCTAAAATTCCGTAACGATTTTCAACCATCGGATCGTTTCTTCTCGATTTAGCGACCCCGGCGAGATAACGCAGAAACCGTATCTATGAAACGCGAGTAATTTGCATCGTACGATAAATTTTGCTCTTATCGGAAATAGGTGGAATAAAAATGGAACATACAGTTCAGATACTTTTTAAACTATACTTTGTCTTTACTTGAAACACTTGGAAACTGACAGAATGAAGAAAGGTCAGTGACGAAAATCGGTCCTACTCATTGTCTAAGTAAGCCAAAGAAAAATGAAATGCAACACTCGCGTCGATGGTTTTTGTAAACGAAAGAAAACGTTCTCTTTTTGAAAAAGACGACCAGCTGTTGTGGTCCAATATCGCGGAAATGGAAAACACCGGGTAGCCAGGAGTGCACCGGAATGACTGGCGATGCAAATTGTTACAGTTGGGAGCGATGGTCGTTAGAAGTATACACAATATGGGGTGCACCTTTAACGGCGGCTGCGTACACCCACGCGGTATGTATATCTCGCGATACGAGTTGCCTGGAACCCAGCGTCGGAGAGCAATTCCGGGAGAAGAAGAGGAGGCGTGAGTTTACGATAAGATACATACGTGCGACGGCTCCCTCCAGTCTCTGTGCAACGGGCTAATCGAATCGTGACTTATTGTTAGGCTAAGTCCATATTTAAATACGCGAGAGAGATACGTTCGTTAGAACTTTCCGGTTAACGTCTGAATACTGGCTTAATTCAGCACGGAGGATCGAGACCGGGAACAATTTTCAATGCCCCCGTACAATTGACAGCACCGAACCCTGTCTGTTCTCATTGTGAGCGGATTAGTTATTGTCAAAGCCGTTCGCATCGAACGTCTTGAAAGTTGGCTAGGCCGTGCAGTTAATTTTGGATTGGCAACGCGTGCTTTCGCTGTCGGGTTTCTAAGTGAAATATCGACGTTAATACAATATATACCATTGAATCCGGAATCGATTTTTTCTCCTGCCCACCTGTAATACGTTACGAGATTTAGCGGCGTAAATAAAGTCAGTTTGTATCCGTATGTACGATTCTCTTTGACCCTCCATGTTTCGTCACTGTTTCGATCTTGTTTTTATAAAACTTTTAATTTGACGCATTTACGTAGAACACCCGCGGTTTTAGGAACGAAACATGATACTTTTATTGTGGAAAGCTTACATTTTAAAAAGAAATACTCAAATTTTGCATTTTATATATAGGAGATTTGTATTGTTGATACGGGACAACGAACGACACATTATTTTGTCGATATTATTAGATTAAAATAAATTATTCAAGCTTCCTTAGCTAAGCTCCCGATAGAACATTGCTAAGACGGAATTGGAATCCAAAATTCTCCAATATCGTTTCGAGAAACGAAGTTTGCAAATATGAAACATTGCAGACCTCTTTCAACCGATTATTTTTATCTCGATAACGTTAAATCTTTTCTTATCTCACAAATTCTATAATAAGCTCGATCTCAGAACCAAAAATATTTCAGAAACTAACAAAGTTTCGGAAGATTGGAAATGCATTCATTTAACTAATATTTAAGAACGTTATTCCCAGGATCATGAAACTGCCAAAAGGATTAAAAACCATTGTAATAGAGAGTTCGTAGCGCGATAAAATAAAAGGAGCCGTTAATCGGAACTGAGAAACATTCCTTGACACGGTTTCCAATCGATCTTTCGATTTCATCGGAAAAGTTTGAGCGTGGATGTGAGGTGCGCATCATCGCACGACACACGTGCGCTCTTACTGTCCGCTGCGCTAAGACGTATGTTCGTTCACGCGTGACTGACGTGCGAATTGCATGAACGATCGTATCGAATCGCCGTGACAGCTCGCGCCTGAACACTCGTACCGACGCTTCGGATGGATGTACACGCACGCACGGGCAATTAACGCGCTTTAATTACCCCCGCGGTGGTCCCGGACCTCTTTATCGATACGCTTGATAGCTTCGACGATCACAAATTCGCGAATCGCCTAAGTCTCGTCGTTAGTCAGTCCGAGAATTCGTGATCGAATTTCGCCCAACCGTTCAACTGAAAATAATTTGAAACTGCTTTTTCTCGTACAAAAATAATATAGTAGAGAAAATAGTAATGGGTATTATTCTACTCATTATTATTATTTTCGAGAATTCTTCGCACATTTGATATTAGTTTGTTATCTATTCTTGACCGAATCTGCTACAACGCATCTTGAAATAATTATTTGTAATTTTAAGTTTATTTATTTATTTCAAGTTATTTCACTTCAAAGTATGGAAAATAATAGAAATTAGCAAAAGAAGTGATGTGTATCTTTTGTTTCAATTTTTATCAATTTAAATGATTTTGTCGTCGTACACGCCGGATACAAGTAAACCTCAATGTACACTTTCGAACGCCATAAACGTCACTGGAAATACTACAAAATAAAAAGTACACCATCGATGTGTATCGAATGTTAAGTTTATGCGAATAACCCGGAACACCTCGGGGGCGTGACTGTTAAAGTATAAAAAATACGATCGTCCCGATGAATCATTCGTACTTCGCACCTCGTGCGTTATTGAAATTTCGGGCCGAAAGTAATTTGCGTTTGATAATACGGCGAGTAAATCAATTTTAATGGGCGTTTTCGTTTACGTTTACACGAAATTGAACAATAATGAAGCTCGCGTGATATTTATTAACCTGGCGGGGGTCTGGCCTCGTAAAAAGTTCGAGAGATCTATACGCCTTCGGGGTGAGTTCGCGAAATACGGAATTGCGAAGGAAGTCGTAAGCCGGGACATTTAATTGCGCAATAAATCCTGATTCTCCGATTTGCAACCCATTTCCTACTGCGGGGGCGACGATTGGTCGCTGTTAAATTGGCGCGTAGGTGCGACGTAGGTACCTACGTATCTATGTAGGTACGCCGACTGTGAAAGTCGGAAGAGTTCCTTCTCTTTCCCTTTCGACGATCTCTCTATCGTCTCTATATTCGTTGATCTGACATTTTTCAACGACGAACATTCGTAAAAGTGAGATGCGTATCTCAAACTGACAATTAAATGATTTCATCGGTCGAGTATTAGCCGTGACGTGTTGTGGGGCAAGTTGTAAGTAAGACGACGCGTTACTTGAATTCGAATCAACGTTAACTCGTTCAATTGTTTCTCGATCTTCTACTTGGGCGATTAAAACTCGGGCGTGTCGAGATAATATTAACACACTTGAGACCAGAATTGAATTTTAGTTGCATAGGATTTCTTTAAAACGCGTGTAAGCGAACCTCGATTAGTTGTTCGATGTTTCTAACTTTCATATTAGAAGTTTAGAAAAATATCAAGAATCAGTTTTGTTATTTCGCAATAGAATGTTTAGAATTATTTACTTAATATACTTGCAAATTTGAAGGACTAATACATCGATTTAAAAAAAATACTACACGAATTTAATCCAATAAACATGACCGACTGTCATATGCTATTTTGAGCTGTGTGTAAAAATTTATCTTTGCACGCGAGTAACGTTATAAAATTTTCATGTAAAATGAATTTTCTCGATTTCAGCGTCAGAAAGTTTCGATTATCATGCTTAATAGTTAACATTTTGCACCCTATCTACAAATTTGATCCCAAAAAATGAATTGGCCTACATGGAAGGTATTCTTCTGACATGTGTTGTTTCCATTGTATTGCAGATTCGGTGGCACAGACGATTACCTTCACGAGCCTCGCATTTTTCCTGAGTTCGGGCCTGAATACGGTTTCAGGTGTACCTGCGTACGGCCTCCGTACAGGGGTATCGAACACGAATAATATGGATCGGTGGTTGGCGCCGTGTGGCAATCCGGTGGCGATGCAGTTCAAGAAGATGCCCCAGCGACACAGCGTGCACAAGACGCTGAAGAGGGTGCGAACGCAGCTCAGAGTCGCTCAGAATCACTTCAGGTTGCATCTCAATGATGTGCACGAGATATATTCGAAGGTAAATTGCAATTCCCGACCTGACCGCGATTCGTAATTAATCACTGAACCGAGCTAGGGTATACGAGAGTGGGCGTCTCTTTCAGGTAGAATCGCACGTGCGCACAACAGAGTATTACTAGTGCTAAAGTCCTACTTTCTGTTCTGCCTGTAATTTGCATTCGTTACGATCTGCCACGCATAAGCGTAATTGCATTTTTATGAACAGGCACGCTCGTTTATTTTCTGCGTTACTTCCGAGCTTTGTTAGCTGAAATCGAATTGGTTTCATCGAACCATTTATGATCGAGTAGATTGGCCTTTTTTTCGATTATACTCCTCAAATAACTAATGTGATATTATTACGATGCCCATTCACTCGTGATAAAACCTAATATTATAATAATTATTTTCTTCGGTCCTCTGATGGAATGTAGAAAAATCAATATATCAGTACCAAAGTTATTCGATTGATTTTACGTTTGCAGGAACTCTTTGACAAGAATTAGAAGTAGACTCGGAAATTTTTATCGAATATAGTAGATATTTCAGAAATCGATCATTAGCCTTGCATTCGTATCGGTATGTCAACCATTAATGCAAATAAAAATTTGCATAATATTTTTCACCGTATATTCATGAGAGGGCTATTAATGGATTAGGATTATCGATGCTTTCTGATTGAAAATGAGTCTAAACACGGCCTCGCTAGAATTATTTTTAATTTCACGTGCTTGAAAGTTTCTTTGGAAGCGATTACAATATCGTATAATTGAACATAGGTTGGATTAAACCTTGTTTAGACTTGCTCTCGTTGGGAAAATCACACGTCATCGACGATACTCTCGTGAGGACTCATCGACCGAGAGAAAAATGTCTATTTTAATTCCTGTATGACATTCGACCCTGTCTGCTTATCTTATCGCTTTCGATTGTGACTATCGGCCACTCGAGTCGATGAAGCTAAAGAAATATAAACAAGTTAAAGAGAGGAGGATTAGTAGAAGAAAATGCAGGTGTTTACTGCAACATAGAACGACACAGTTTATTTCTAATCTTTTTTATGATTCGAAACCCTCGAAACCTAAGCAAATAGTAATTTACATCAATTTTTTATACCCTGCCTCTTCATTTTTGCATAAATATATTCATCCTAAATTGTACTTTGAGACTCACTAAAAATATAAAGAATTTAAGATTAAATTAACGAAGATCCTGCGAACAACTCAAACAAATAAAATGAAGAACCATTTAACTATTTCCAAGGACTGCTACTTTTGCTTTCTGCGATTATCTTTAGATTGTAAAATATAAGGAGAGTTTTCAGAACCATTAGAAGAAAGTGATTTAGAGTATCGAGTGTTTCGAGACTAAAGATTAGGTTACGTCCCAAATTTGTTGTCCAAAACGAAACTGTAAAAAAACCTATGACGTCGAGACGAGATTCAGCATCCTCGGGGCTGAAACTAAAACCTATAGTTTCCACGAAGAGTGACGCAATTTGTACTTGTCTGGTTTCGAAGAAATCGTGTACACGAGTTGTAGCGCGGAACACGTTGAAAAATATTTAGACAAAGCAATATCTCGACTTTCATTTGCAGGTGTACAAAGTGCTGAAGGGGCAGTACAGAATGCCCTGGCTCCCGGAGAAGGAATTCGACTGGTATTTCAGGGAGGTTTGGTGTCTCGAAAAGGGGAAGAAAGCTGATCGTGCGCTTCCACATCTTCACGATTCGCTTCAAAGGTTTGCCATCACGTTCCACCATCTCAGAGCTTTCCGTCTCAAGTCCAACATCAACGTCGATCTCACGATGGGCAGGAGAAACGAGATCATCAAGCAAATGCACAATGAGATCCTCAGGGTGCGGACCATTTATTTTATGTCACTTCATAAATTACGATTTTATTACATTACGAATTTGAAAAGTGTCGTTCGACGCAAGATTCTAGTACGATTAAACCATTTGTATATAGCAATTTTCCAGATCATTATATAATTGAAACATTAAGTTTTCAGTACTTTTTAAAATATTATGTACTTAAGCCTCGTTTAATTTAAAATTGAACGATTTATATTATTATAAACTGGTAATATCACGTTGACAGACATTTTAATTTCGAACGTTTCGTTGCAGGTGTTGTGCGAAGTGGAGACTGCTATCTTAATCTTAGGTCTGCAAATACCAACGGCGCATACCGCCAAAATTGTCACGGAGAGTTCGAACTGGGCAAAGGAGGGCGACCTGACGCTGATGTTGATTCAGGATTGGGGGGTAATCAGATTGTATCAAACGTTTCTAAACGCCTGGACCAAAGCGTTTCGTAACGCGACTACGCCAGGACCAGGAACCTGCGACTCCGACAGACAGAATCCGGGAACAAAGATTATTAACAAAGGATCCGGGCCAAAGGGTAAAAGGATATCAAAGAGTAAGAAGCAAACCAGGCCAGTTCGGAAGCATCCCTTGGGTGCTGGTCAGAATAGTTCCTTGCCTCAGGGGCCGAAAAAGGGTCCTCCGAGAAACAGACTGTTTAGAAAGAAACAAAAGAAGCTCGCGGAAGTGTGATGAGATTAATCTCGCCGAGGGTTTCCCTCGACTTTTACGCAATCTCTCGATTATCTGAAGAAAAAGAGGCTTAACAGGCAGCCTTAACGTTATTTTAAAGAATCAGCTTTATTTCTTCGTGGACCTGAACTCTCTGTTGTTGTGATTAGAGCATTATTTTCAAGCGTTAATTTAAAAGAACAATCTAATACACGTATCAACGTATTAGTTCCTTCGGACCAGCGGTTCCTAACCTTTTATTTACCATGGACTGCCTTTAAATAATTTCTTCTCGTCGCTTAATTTAAATAACGTGCATCGATTATTCCTTCGCATTTGGAAGATTTATCGTAAACGACAAATATCATGTTAAGGACCGCTGCTTTAGACACTTTGAGAGTTTTCTTCGTTTCAGAATGTCGTTTTCTTTGTGACTTAATTAAGTTCTTGGCATTGGAATCGTCCCATAAGTTATTTGCCTGTCGAGCTTCTTTTAGAAAAAGGTTTTTTACATCTTTCACGTTGTCGATGACAAATGTTTTTTTTTTTTATTTTATTTTATTTATCGTTACGATCATTCGTAGATGCTTATTACTTTGAAATCTTGCCAGTTTGTTCCAATGTGGTAGCATTAAGAGTGTTGCGATAGAATTAGACGAGAACGACAATCGTATTAAGGAGTTAACGTTTTTATTATTATTTTTTTTTTTTCGGACATCTGGTACCGCGGAGAGTTAAAGCGTCGTTGAGAATCAAATTGTATACTAGATACCAGTATTAAGAAATGTATTTCAGAACAGTATTATATCTAATAATATACTTAATAACAAGAATAGCGAATAACACTGATACAAAAAAAAAAAGTTCGATTCGTACGGCGCAATTTTAATCGATTTGTTTCACGAGGCGATTAAACAATTAACGAATCATTGTCGCGGACGAATCCACTTTAAACTGTTAGCCATATTGTACATGCAAGAAGAAACGATAGTATAAAATTAGCACACTTAGAACGTAATCGATGCGTGTCAAATGCGATAAGAGTTTCATAGCAAATTGTCGGAACAGAATGATACGTACATATGTAGCTGCGGAAAAGTTTGTTCGGTGGACAGGGTCGAAACTTTGTGTCAAACTTTTCTTTCATTTTTTTTTTTACAACAAAGTAATGTGCAGGTATAAATGTTGTTTCTCTTGTGACTCTTCGCATTGCACGCGATCCCCCGCGTACGTCGATGCGATGATTCGAATTATACTGATCGATCGTGGCTCATTGTAAATACGTACACCCAAGGCGAAGCTCGACAACGGTATCGAGATTTCGAAACACGAAAGTATTGACGATACGACGCAAGAGTCATCGATTTAATCGCCGAACAAGACGGTTCGTCAAACTTATTTATTGTAGCTTTAACATAAGCAGGCGAAAGCTTAATGTTTTTTAGCTGTGATATCTCCAGCGTACGCGTACGTACAGAGTTCCTACGTTTTATACATAGGCGCATTACTTATTGTAAGTGACGTGCGTTCACGCGTACGGATACGTATTTAGATGTAATCGCATCTTCTCTTTATTTTTTTTTTTTATAATTTTTAATTTCATATAATTTTTTTTTTCTCTCTTTCGCCAGTCCGTAGAATCTCGTCTTGTCGCGAACATGACACTTTTATCATTCAATATTTTGCTTCTTAATTGCTTTCGTAATGCTTCGAACACGAAAGACCAGCGGTATTACAAGATGGCGCGGTTTATAGTTTTTTCCCTTATTTTTTTAGTCCCATTCGAATATTTGGACCAGACGACGAAACGCGTCTCTTATTTTTTTAGTTACGAATGTATCGAGGGACCATTTAAGAGTTATAAGAATTATTTTGTATACGCGTTTAACTCGCTTGCGCGTGTGATCGTCGTGAAACGACACAGCATTCTTCTTCCTGAATGAAAATATGTTTGCATTAAAGACAATCGAAGTTTTATATTGTACCGGTACTTAATAATATGTACTTGTATTTTAATGTTAGATATTTTTCTACTTGGTATTTACACGCGGCGTGATAACCGAACGTTTTATACACGCGCATTTAGATAGTAAGGATTCCCACTTGCATTTTATCAAGTATACGTAGTAGTTATATTTATTGTGACGTACACGTAGGCGTACATAATGTTACGATTTATTTATTATATCACGTTACCATCGCATATATTATTTATTGTCATTTCTGTACTTGTATAATCGTCTCGAATAAATTCGATGTTTTTTGTATTGAACAGCGTCGTTCGATATTCGTGCCTCGTATTTCGTCCAACAACAACGCTCCCGCCGGTTACAACAATAACTGCAAACTTTCGGTTTGCATACAATAACGGAATTTAATCAATCGTATCAGGATTTTATAAAACGTACGAGCGTACGATTTTAGTCAGCTGACGTTCGTTATCGATGATGTCTGGCGAAAAGTGTATAGGTATGCAGCAAGATAATACCGTATCAAGTTCATTAAACTTGCGAAAGTGACAGGTAATGCGAAATGAAAAAAAATGCAGGCCGATTCGACGGAGGAAAATTGCATTTTAACGGACGTCAGTCGCGCGTATATTGTCGTAATTATCGGCAATTATGTAATCGAACAACGATGCACCGAATTAAAAATTTACCCGGATGATTTTATATTTATAGAATTGTTAGTTATTATTATTTTTGCAAATGATTGTAACTTTGGTTACAAGGAATATTTATCAGTTATTAAACGAACGAGTACTTATCGTTTATTAATCAACGCGTTTCGATTTGTTTTGATTGCTCGTGTGTTTATTTAATTATTCATTTTTTTTTACTCGAAAGATTTCATGTACAACCGGCTCCAGTATCAGGAGTCCACGAGGGGGTGAAAAGTTGTAGTCGATACTCATTACTCTTTACACTACCATGTAAATATTTTACACGTTGTTGTGTATGTATTATTTTTATCGCGATCGATACTCGTTTCATTTAAAGGATTAATGCAAGAGCACTGCGTGATTTCTACGTCTTCTACTGACATTTTGAATATTAAAAATTCTGCTTTTACGATGAAAAATAATACCGAAAATACAGGAAAAATGGTAAGAAGTTATTTTTAATTTTTCGATAATTTACAATTTAAATAAATATTTATTCATGTAATACGGTATTTAAAAAGTTGCTGTTTTATTCACATGGATGTTCTAAATGTAATTGTTTTAAATGTACGTGTTTGTGCGAATAAACTTTTAATTTGAGATATTGAAAATCGATTGGGGAGATTATGCGATTAAAAACGCACAATAAATATGATACCTAAATTCAAAGATAACATGAATAGACATATGCGCATTTAAGATTATGTTGCTAGTCTCATGTGGATCCTTTTAGTTTTTCTCGAACTCGTATCAACTACTATTCGTAATATTTAATAACGTTAACATTACAAAATTGTCTTACTTAAGAATTTCATGTGATTGTATTCAATGAAATATTTTGAAGACTATCAAAAACTATGAAAAAGTATGATAACGTGATATTTCAAGAAGCTTCGTTCTTGAATAATATAAAAACACAGTGAGTATTATTTAAAAGTGTCACGATATTAATCTCGATATTGTAAGAATTATATACATTTTGTTGAATTGTGTTATTGCGAGGAGTTTACAAAAAATATGTGCCAGACAAAGAGTTAAAATGCTTTTATTACTTTAAACGCAAAGATTAAAAAAGATATAAATATAATGTTGATATAATGTTTATTGAAAGGATATTTTTTCCAATGCGTTGATTTTATATCATTTAAATTATTCGATAGCATACGGAAATGGTTAAATGATACTCCTGACATTACAAACGATTATTTATAATACTTATCGATAATACTTGGCGTACAGAACTGTACAATTTATAAACACGTTGTGAAAAACATTGTTTTCAGGTTGAGCAGATAGAAAGAGCCGCAATAATACCTCTAATAAAGATAGGAGGAATATTTTGTATCAAAGGAACCGAATATTACACGCAGCAAAATATTGCAATAAACCACTAATAAAAAAAAATATCAAACTCATAAACGCCGATTTTAGTTTTAGGAAATAAGCAATAGTTTTCGCATAAACATTTTACACGTATTTTTTTCACATCGAAAGAGTGAACAAAATTAATTAGAAAATTCCATCTTTCCATATATTGTTCATAGAAATGATTTTTTTTAAGCCTTCTTATAGAATTCAATTTTTCGTTTAAAAACATACGATTTAGAAACAGAAAAATATGTTTCCAGCGCCTCCATTTTGAGCGCTATTTTCACCCTTTCAAAGTGCATGTTTAAAAACTACATTTGCCATAAATTTCATTAAAACCGGCGTGTTTCTTTATAGGAGTCCATCACTAGATAAATTCAAAATTAGAAATCCATGTTTTATGATAACCTCTGTTTTTGATCTAGAAACGAATGTATTAATCATAAATAGATGCAAAATTAGTATTACAAATACTTCTTTAAGTTAATTATTCAAATGAAATAACTATTTCTTTATTTTTATTTAAAAAAAAATATGCTAGGTACGTTTCTATCGAACAGTCATATCGATCCAACCATAAACACGTACGCAGATTTCGCGCAAATCAAGCTATTGTTTGCTTGCACGGGATTTTTATGTACTCGAACGCACGTAATTCCGTCACGTTCTAATCCGAGACGAGAAGACCTAATCTCAGTTCGGTGAATTCGCCGACTGTCTAATTATAGTATCGCCTTATACGGCATACTTATAACATATTACGTAGGATTAGTGTCGACGTAGGATGCGTACGTTACGTCGACTTCATTCAGAAGTTTTTGCGCTTCGGTCGACACGCTGTACTTAAACGCAAAAGTATTGGCCTTCTGACGTCAACTTTTCCTAAAAACCGTATCGTTTGAATCGACCAAAACGTTCGCTGTATCGTCGAAAATCTCTGTCACGGATATCCCCAAATTTCCCTTTTAATCTGCTTGCAACAAAACTGTTTTGCGTTTGCCCCGCTCCGGCAAGATAACATTAAAACTGTCGGTAGTTTGCATCTCGAGTCGAACTAGCGTATCGATACGTTCCGCGCGATGATTCAGAATTATTAGGTATGGTCGTGGCGTTTAATCCTATCTGGTAGATTAGATCGCTGATACATGGCACGTTTAGGTGAACCCGCGGATGTGAGGCTTTTGACACTCGACGGCGCGGCTTTCCCGGTTGAATCATAATCCAAATATTGCGATGTTTGCGTCTGCATGGCGCACGAGGCCCCCGAAACACTTCTGACGAACCGTCTATCTACTTCCCCCCGGTGAGCCCGAGTGCCATACTTGCACGATGACAGGTATTTCCCGTTTTTCGAAGAAAATTCAAACGTGGGAACGTAAACGCGAGAATCCGCGAAATCATCGATGCCCGACCAATAGAGGTGTTCGCGTTTACGCGACTACGTCATACAGATAATTTTGGATATTATGCTTGGATCGAGGTACACTCTCAGAAAAATACTGGAAATCGGAAACGTATCAGTGAAAACGATCTACGTTGTGATAAAAACAATTGGAAATTTGAGCAAAAGTACAGAATGAATCGAGGACGGTAAACCGTTTGCCGTTTACGGAAGTCGAAGACCACGCGGCGCAGAAGAAGAACGCAGAATGAATTTGCAATAACGAGAGAAAAAAAAATGTTATAACGATCATTACGCTTTGAGACGTGACACACCTAATCAGTCGCGACGCCACATCGATTGCGGGGCTGTAAATAACGCGGCGTTTATTGCAACAGGCTCGTCGACGCGTTTGCACAGCTAAGTAGTAAACATTAACGCAGCAATTATTTTCAGGATGCAGCCATTTCCCGGCGTGGGCCACTATCTGGATATCTGGACGATATTTTCGATAGATCCGTTACGTAGAAGTAGGCTCGACCGCGATTACGCGGGGCTCCACCAGACCGGCGAAAAACTCTGGACAAAATATAAGCTGCCACCCCACCGTCGACCATGCGTACGTACACGTTCGATTGTTTACACAATGCCATATATAAGCTGGAAGCACGAGAGTTTGACAATCTCAGTTCACGATCTCTCGCCAATCGCTAACATCGCGAAATCACTTGCTCCGTTTCGACGAGATACGACCACCGATACCGTTTAGTTTTAAATCGTACATCGACTCGAAGATGTTCCTATCGCGTTCCTGCCTGTTGATCTCCGTGCTGGCTGTCGTTTCCGGCGCGCCGAAAAGATCCACGAGATCGGAGGTGCCGATGTGGCACCTGCCGTGCGGTGATATGGAAACGGACGGATCGTCGTTCGCGAACTTGGAGGAGGAAGTGAAGATCAGTCTGGAGAGCCTGAGGCTGCAGCATCAGTTGACGATGCAGGATTACCTGAACCGTGACTACGAGTACCTGTACGAAAGAGTGCGTATCGGCGTTCACGAGCACCAATACATCCCCAACTGGGTCCCCGGGAAGAAAGACGTGAACATGATCAAGAGGCTCGCCAACGCCAAGCCGCAAATGGTAAGTTTATCTTGCGTTTGTAATCCAATAGACCTCTACGGTCAGTATCCCTTCCGCTTGCGGTGGCGGAGATTCTTTTACCGAATCCTGTAACGATCCCGGTAAACGAAAGGTAAACAACAGAGCACGAAAGTCTAGAGTCCAGAGTTTTGGCGCGACTCGAAAATTTTCGACGGGTGAACGAGCGACAAATTTGTATTAGAAGTTGAAGTGTCGCGTTTAACTTTCCCGGGAGGGCATAATCGCCCTTTTGTGCGACGACGAACCCCTTCTATAAATATTCAGCGAGCGTGGAGAAGCGTCGTGTCGCGAGAATCCGGAAGAGCACGAGCGTACGGAATCGCGGAACAGGTGAGCCCGACTGCAGAGGCGCGCGCGCGTTTTCAGTTCCGCGACCAGTTGACCATTTGCTGTTGCAATTAATTAACGCAACGTTAAATAACAAATTTTAATGAGACGGTAATTATTATAAAGTAGCAGGCGAACAGAATCGCGCGCGGCTGTTCGAGGTTTGCGCGCGCAATGCAACTACGGGGTACGCGGCGTTCATGTTAGCCGGGTCGCGCGACTGCGTAATCCCGCTTGTCCTCCGTCGTGATGCGTGTACACTGATAATGCATCGTGATAACGCCGGTACTCCCCGATACTCGCCCTCCCTCCCCTTCCACCGCCCCTTTAACGCCGTTACAGTCATTCCGCATAGACGCGTTCTTCCGACGACGCGACCTCCTTGATCCTTAACACTCTGCTGACCGGGGCTATTTCGAGCCTAAACCGACCCTCGCAGCCACCTAGCTTTTCGCAATTCCCTTTATTATTAGGCGTATGCAAAAATCTTAATCCGCTTTTCAAGCGTTCAACTATAATTACTTGAAAACAATGCAATTTTTTTCTTTTTTTGTGGATTTCTTTAGTACTCGTCTATCTGAAATTTCACCGTCGATTTTTAACGTTACGTTCATAAAATAGCAGTGAAAACGATAAATGGGTATGAACTCTAAAATGCTACTTATCACGCAATTTTCAAACGCAAGAATTCGTGGATAGATCATTTTTTCGATTATGGTATAAGCATTTAGATTCATACAATGGTACACAACTTTTTTCTAAAATATAGTCTTAAAATTTTCTAGAGATACCAGAAGAACTGTTAGAATCTGTACTGCATTCAATTGCATTGCCAATTACTCGTTCTCTAGTTACTCCTAGCAGGAGATATTTGTATTTCATGTAACAAGAACAAGTGGGTCCTCTACACAAAAACGCTATTTTCAAGGGTTTCTCAATTTTTTCTTCAGTGATTTAAATAAACCGCGATTCTCCCTTACAGTATCACAAACCAGTGTTTCCCAACAATATCTCTGCAGTAAAAACACGCTGATATAATAATTTAATTCCCTGTATAAACTAACGTAAATGCAGGCACGAGTATACTAGTGACCGGCCAGCAAATTAACATAACATAATGTACTTGAACGACCACTTTGCTTACAGATCATCAACCATTTTCCGAAGCTGCACTTGGACCTACAGAAGTTCGCGGTTGCATTCGAGCAATTGGTGGACGACGAGACAAATTCGAAGGTCCACACGGCCCTGAGCGCGACTCAATCTTATTTAATGATGATGCTATGCGAAGTGGAGAGCTACATCCTCGGTCGTCCGTCTCTACGAGTACCGTCGCGGGTGGAAAGAAGCATCATGAGCAGCGTCGAAAGAGAGCCAGTGGACGATACCAGAAGACTCGTCCGCGATTGGGGCATTCTTCTCAAGTACAAAGACTACCTGCACGCCTGGAGACACGTTTTCAACGACTAGAACGAGCAGTGATCTGTTTCAGCTTTTAGATGAAAACGATAAAAGCGTGTCGACGAAACGAAGAAACGATAATCAAGCATGACACCATCGACGGAAACGTTGCAAATTTCTATCGAGCGTACAATGTAAATTCATTTAGCACCTCTCGCTCGCGGTTAACTGCGAGAAGCGTGGACGTGTCACGGTGTGCATGACTAGACAACAATCGTTGAAGTCATACGCGATAATCGTCGGAGATAATCCGGCCATTGCGAAACGAGCGTTGTCGATATCGCATTATTTAACTTATTTATTCATGAACTTATTTATTGCATTCACCGATCATTACCGTTAGTATTTATTATTTATTCATGAAACGTCGACGATGGGATTATTTATTTAGAACGTTAGTTATTTATTGACGATCCGCGGTACCTTCTCACTCTGCCATTTCGAAGGCGATACGCGATCATGTAATTTCGAAGCGCAGCATGTGATAATCAAACCACTTAAGGAAACTGTTTGTATCTTCCTGAGAAGTGATCACTATTAGCAAATAGGTATTTATGAAAGACAATAATAGTAATAAAATTATTTTTGTATTGTTCAGTATTATCAAACAGATATTTATATTGTTGATGCTAAATCGAATATTTATATATAGTGTATTTAATAATTTATTATTATCTTTTATATTAAATTTTCCTAATGAAAAAATAACGTGTTATGAAAAATTTTCCTGACAAAAAATGTTTCGATTGGATATCAAATATGTTCCTTAGCAGAATGGTAAGTGTCTCGATGTGAAGTTCCATGAATAACATAACTATTTCTTTAACGTTGTATTAAAGAATGGATAAAATTTATGGCATCTTGGCAAGAGAATTACATAGGTAAATTTGAAGGTATTCTATATTGTTGAAGTACAAAGTTTATATGTATAATTTGTATTTTAAGGACAAAATTATTTAAATATGTTTGATTCTTTATATGAACTGTGCCTGACACATTAAACATGCTACAAGTTTCAGGGCGTTAAAAATGTCGTCAGCTTCAGCAATAGTTTCTCAACTGACCGCCATGCATGAGAAGAGGACGCTAAAATCACCTTCCAATTTTTTAGTCGGTATGGCAGTCAGCTGGGGCCAGAAAAGTCCACAAGGTGTATGGTCTACTTGTATACCTCGTTTATGGTTATACCACAGACGGGGTATACGAGTCGACCTTTCACCTAATGTATTTTTTCGGCCCGTTTCTCTGGGGTCCCGGTACCCCATTAGCATTTTCGTGTCACTCGCAACATTACCATCAGATTCAAAAATGAATTTTAATCCCTTCCATAGTCAACTCACATGGATTTACGCAAAACTACAGCTGTTTGCCTATCAATACTAATTCAGTGAATAGAATCTCAACTGACCGCCATCCATGAGAAGAGGACGCTAAAATCACCTCTGAATTTTCAGGTCGGTATGGCAGTCAGATTGGGCTACGAAAGTCCATAAGGTGAAAGGTCTACTCGTATATGTACCTCGTATATGTCTGTGAGTGTACCACAGACGATCTATACCAGCAGACATTGAATCCGATGTATTTTTTAGGACTATTTCTCTGGAGCTCTACAGCCCCATTACCACATTCGTGTCAGTTGCAACGTTACCAACAGGCCATAGGAATGAACACATGAGGAAATGAGACAGGAATTCTTCAGTTTTTTAACAGAATGAAAACTGTATGGTTCAGACTGTGACGCGACACTAATGCAATCCGAAATTAGTTCGTATACGCAACACTACCCTGAAAAAAAAACGCGAAAACATTAATCGTTCGCAACGCTAAAAGTAATCGCGATAAATTTAAATTATGTGCAACGCTATTTTTAAAACAAACGCGATCATTTGGCTTTCGCAACACTAACGCAAACCACGGTCTGCCACAAAATACTACCTGTTGATCTGAAAAAAAACAAATACTACAAGCACTACAAATACTACAGGCGAATATAGTGACGCAATAGGAACATGGAATGACTCTCCATCCTCATCCGAAGATGAAGATGAACAGCCATTTGTTGCAGCCCACTCTTGAAACAATTTGTCAGGGCCTCTTCGACTCCCGAGAGTCTCTTCTTTCTTCGGCGGTCCTGCCAAAGCCTGAAACTTAAACCTAGGCTCGAGATTCCGTGCAATACGTTGTCGGAACAACTGTGGAGAAACTCGAGCGGGACGTGCGTTTCGGGGAACCTACCGCGAACGAACGCGACCGCGAAGAGCGACTGTAAAGCCGCGCGATTCGAAGAATCGAAACTAAAACCGAAACAAACGGTGCAATCCGCTTGTATCGGCTAACGTTTCGACCCTCCAAATCGAACTACAGGCAAAGGACTTGTACAGCCCTGCACTGACCCTACCTACTTACATCTAACACACATACCAGAAATCAGTTACCTACCTACTTAACCCTATATTTAAAAAATTGCAGAACTCATTCTCGCAAACATACGCTTCACGGTTCTCACACATACTGTCCGGGCGCAAAAGCCTACACTAGAGAGGATTCCCCGGGGTTCCTCCGACACCCGGACATTGTAACAACATTCATACTCTAAGGTACGTACCATTCACTGAAATCAACTGACAAAGGCTAGTGAACATTGCGTATCTTTATTATATGTATATATATTGCGTTATTTTAATGTAATCGAATCATTGATAAAGTATGTTATTGCACGATGTTTATTGTTCAAGATCAAGAAGTTAATCGTCATTTATATGTTATTAAATATTTTGTACTACTTTGTAAATTATAATGAATTTTTTAAACGACGTAATTCCACAGTCTAACCACAAACACACACATGTGGCAATTACGTCGCGCACGATACACTAGCGCAATGTTAGTTGCATATTTATATTATTAGATATTTTTATAAACTAAGTCATCGTGCCTATTGCTTTCACTCACGCAAGTAGCACCTGGGCACTTGGGTGAGATTAAGCAATGAACACGGAAATGTATCCTGAAAATCCTGAACTAGAAAAATGATTATAGTAAGTACTAACGTATTTTATTTGTGATAAATAAAGAGTAAATGTTTAATATACATTAATGATGAAAGATATTATTAGAAAATAAAATTATTCTGATTAAAATTGTATTATTTGAGACTTCAATCAAGAGTTTACAATAAAATAATTTACTTTGAAAATTTTAGGAAAAATGATTGAAACAAACTAATTAAAATATTCAACCCTCGAGTAATTCTATCGTCAAAGCATATTTTTCAAAGATGAGAATAGTACATAATGCATGTTTCTTTGACTCAAGAATTTACCCATCGCGAATTGTCTTTTTGTACATAAATTGAAACATCAAATTTTTCAATACGTAAGACTTTGGTATCTTCCATACAAAGCCATCAAGTTACATTTGAATATGAGACATGAACAATTTAAAAAACAATCAGAATTCAACATCACTAATCATCATTGAATATATGATGTAACTACAACTCAAAGAATTTCCATATTCAATTTATATTATAATCATTAACTACTCTATGTTATATTTTCATGTCATATTAAAAATCGCGGAGTACAAAAAGACCCTAGCCTGAACTACAAAATAAAACAATGTACCTATGTATGTTCCTACGCACGGGTACAAAAAATACCCGCGATCACTATATTCGCCAAAGATACTACGTATACAACCGGTCACCCGTGTTGATTCGGATATTTCATCCTACAACATGGTTGGGGACCAGAGGAAATAAAATAGCATGCGACTCACCAATTGTAGAATGCAAACACCCGGACGACGATGTTGCCTAGTAGGACTCATCAGCGAAGTCATCAGCGACGTTAGAAACAAAGTCAGCATCAAGGTCAGCAGCGAGATCATCGTCGAGTTTCTCTGGATCCACAAGTACGATGATGAGATGTCAGGATCCTTTAGAAGGAAAGAGTAAATGTTTTTACGAAAGGTTTCTACCGTATTTGAAAACTTGATGGCAAAAATCAAACAATTTTTTTTAAGCGTACTCGGAACAAAATACAAAGGATACTTACATTTTTCGCACGTGAGCATCGTCAAATACTCTTTTTCGTATAGATACAGGTTTCCTGACGAAACGTGTTCACAAACTCTCAAAGCATTATGGCGTCGCGTCTGTAGCGTGACCGTAGTTTGGCCGCAGTTGAGAGTCTCATGTGGTTGAATTGTAATTACGAGCTGCCACAGAAATAAAACACAAATTTGTTAACAGACACTTATTAATATTGGATAAATGCATCAATGGATAATGACGAAAAGAAGAGAACCGGTTAAAAATGAAAAATACGTTTGATCGTAGTTGAGCGCCCCATGTGTTTGAATTGTAATTACGGGCTCTTACAGAAATAAAACACAAATTTGTTAATATGCACTTATTAATATCGTATAATTGCATCGATGGAGAATGACAAAGAGAACAGAAACAGTTAAAAATAAAAAATGCATACCTAATTAGACGCGAAGCTGTCAACGCACTTCTCACACCCCTTTCCAGACGAAGAATGACGAACAGGATCGGACATGTCACCCGAGCGAGGAGTGGGGAGTGGGGTGAGGGAGCCACCTAGTCCGTCTCGACTGTCGATGTATATCTTCGAAAAGAAGATTAAACCTTATATCTCGAAAAATTAAAAATAAATAAAATAAATACATGAAGTAAATAAAATTAATATAAAAAGATATCAAACAAACAATTAATTACTGATTTATAATCTTTATACTACTGTGACGTCACAATGAGGAGCTGTCATTGGCTCATCTAATATCGATCTGTTATTGGTTGCATATGTAACTAGATCAATTCAAATATATTAATTCTAACCATATAATATGTAAGTATTAACTTTCAATCTAAATTTCAATCAGTTTTTCATATAAATGTTTCTTTTGTTTCTACTAAATTTTCTAAAGATATTTATTTTAATTCTCACTAGATTACCAACCTTCTTTGACGCGGTGATGAGAAC